AGCGCCAAAGACATCAAACCAAATATTGAACAAATAATGACAAAACGCCGATATCATAAAAGCCATTAATGTATTGATTTATAAGTGAACTAGAGGAATGACTGAAAGAACAACCTCCATAAAAAAAAGGGTGAGACACATTCTGGTCGACCTCCACGTGGTGTGTCTTGGGTAATGCTAACTGACCAGGAAATTGTTTTAATTAATGAATTTTGCCATATTTTAACTTTCCGCGGAATTCCCTATAATCCCGAAATACTGTCAACAATTTCTGGAAATATCGAAACCTTTTTTTCTACATTAAAATGACTAATTGACGATCAGTGCTTTAAACAAATTTAACATTAATTATAGTTAATTCTACCAGGTTAATTTTGTTAAATGAATTTTGCATTTCTATATTAGGGTTTAATACAAATTAAGAGCAATTCATGTAAATTTAAAACAACTTTTTGTATGGAGTGGTTGTCCAGGAATTGAGTCCAAGCGTTAGGATTGAGTCGATGGGCGTCGGGACGGATGTAGCGGTCGTACGTCACGCCAGTTATGAACTCCAGTTTCGGACCACTTATGCCAAAAACTTTGCGAGAAAGTGATGCTATTATAGGGCAGAAATCTACGTCCAAATCATTGTAAAAGTTCATTCAAATCATTGCAAACATTTATATCAACAAATAATATGATGAGATAACGTTCCCACACAATATGGTTCGAGCATATGATTCTCAAGGAATTGTCCAATTAATCAAGGAAATATTTTCAAAAAATATTAACATTTTAATAAAACTCAAAGGAATTGACTAGCACAATGTTTTAAATTAAAATAATAAATAGATTTTTTTTGGGTTATATAAATTATGAGGGATTGTCTAATAATTAAGTTTTTCGTTTTGGAAATGTTATAAAACCAAATAATTCATGAGATATACAGTAATATTATAATATTATAGTAACATGGTCATTTAAGTCGAGAATAACAAATAAAATACAAACCAATCATGTCTTGCCTGCCGTACACCCACTTTGCATCGCTTTTCACTAACAGCTTAACCTCAAGCCCCTTTCCCTCACATACTGTCCGCCAAATATCCAGATGTTGTTCCGTCGAGAATGTCTTTCCCCGTGTATTGTATTCAGTCATTTGGGCGTCCATTAGAAATGCGTTCAAATGAGGCATAGCTAGAATTCGCGCTACGATGAGACCACCTTGCTCAGTCAATAACCGGTGCATTACTGCCACCAGTTGGCTCTTATCGTCGATCCAATGAAGCGCATAGTTTGAGACAATGAGTGACACTCTGGCCTCCAGTGCCTTCAGTGGTGGACACAACTCATCCCACGAGACACTCATGTCTTGCGTCCAGTACTCAATTGAATCCATTTTGTGATTCTTCAGCGCATATGATATCATTGTGGGGT